TTTTTTGTCTTTTTTCGTGTCCGGCAACGGACTGCAACCCTCAGTGTCGCGCCCGTACCGGACCGGGACCGGCAACGGGATCGCATCCCTCGGCGCTGCGCCCGCCCCTCGCTCAGCCAGTGAGCGGGAACCGGTCTGTATGTGGGATCCGAACCCTCGGTGGGAGCGCCGCCGTGCTTCCCAAGTGGCGCACTGCCACCGGGCCGGCCCCAATATTAAGTTCTAATATCCATACAAAGGTTGCCTACCCATGATGGGAAAAAAAAGAGAGGGGGACAGAGAGAGGGAAATGCTTAAACTTCAAAGCTTCTCTTTTGCATAGGCCCTATTGTGAGTTCTGAGGCTCCCCCCCAAATCCTATATTCTTTGTTTTCTTAAAAGAGGGCCTCCCAAATTTTATAAGCTCCAGGACTAACAAAACTTGGATTTGCTCTCATTTAATAGTCATAACTTGTTTTTTATTTAATGGGAAGTATTCTATACCTAGCTTTCTAAGAACTTTTGTGAGGATTAGGTACTGAATTTTATCCAAACCTATTTTCAGTACCTATTTTATCCAAACCTATTTTCAGTACCTATTGGGAAAAATCAAATGTTTTTTCTCCATTGACCTATTAAAGTCAAGGATTATATGTATAGGTTTACTAATATTAAATAATCTCTTCCATTTCTGTGATAAACCTAATTGGCTTTTGAGGGATGATTCTTTTAATATGCTGTTAAATGTGTTTGCTAATATTTACTTATAATTTTCATATCTACATTCATGAAATAAGTGTATTTTTGTTCATTTGTGACTTGTCACATTTTGACGTAAAAGTTATACCAACTTCATAAATGAAATGAATGAAAATTTCATCTTTTTCATCTAAAGCCATTGGCATAACCACAAGATAATTTTCCATTTGTCCTATAGGTGTATATTTGTGATCTCCCTGATATAATTACTTACTACATTGCTTTTTAAAATTGCTTATAATGGCATCCAACTCTTGCAATTATGAGATTATATCCCCAGGAATAATTACTAAAACTGTTTAAAATTTTTTAGCCTTTCTTTTTACTGATTTAATAATTGGCCACTATAAGTATCCAAATTTAGGATATTTAAGGTTAATGTGTCATATATAATAAGGTCATATAGGATGAGACCCTACAAAATTCTCTGGCACAACATTACAGATATGGGTTAAGGAACAGGCTTAAGGAGGGAAAACATAAAAGCAAAAGTCTTAAAAATGGTAATGGGATGGAAGCTGAACATAAGTTTCTAACCCCATTTTTTAATATGGTGTTATAATTTTAATTTTTCTTATTAATCCTTTATTATAATCTTAATTTTTTCTTTGAGCCAAGAGTGAGGGTTTTTTTTAATGTTGTTTTTTTTTAACTCTTGTTATTTCTAACTTAACTGCAATGTGCTCAGTTTATTATTTACTCCTTCCATTTGTTCATGATGATTCTTTATCCACCTTGGCAAGGATGTAGTGAATTTTGCTCATATTCTCCAAAATGCTAGCAGTCTCTTCAAGGATGTTTTCATCTGTGAATCTACTTGGGATGCTTTGTATTAGTTAACTTGGAATTTGTGGGTGTTTTATGATTGAATAATATATGGATACTAATATATGGATAACAATATATGGATATTCATATATGAATAATAATATATGAATAATAATGGAAGTTATTAAGTAGGTACAAAAGATAACTCATTTCATGGGGAAGCTTCCTGGCAGATATAGAAAAAGAAATTTAAGTACTTTTAGAAATTTTAGAATTGGCTAAAACTGGATTTATATCCAGAAAACATTGTTGTTCCTATCACATTGATAACTTGAAATCAGCCATAGTGGGACTTTTTATACTGCAGAAACACTACAAATCAGGCCTTCACCCCTTCCCTAAACCCCACTCTGAGAGCCGGTTGTTAACATTTACCAGCACACAACTGGTGCCTGGGCCGGTTCTCCCATAGCTTCAAAGTGAGGAACCCGGGCCCTACAAATTAACATTCCCTGTGTTTCTTTCAATTATTTAAGGATTGTTTAACTACTTAAAGTCAAACTCCTGGAGTTAAAGATCTATTTTCCAGGCATGAAGTTACAGTTATATTCCTAAGCACATAACCCTCCCTGAAAAGAAATATGTCCTTAGTTAATATGATATCCCACAGATTAGAGGGTACAGGTTCATGAGAAGAATAGCCAAAGTGGGGGAGGGAGGGAGCTGCAATCAGGAATAGAAAGGGCGAACTAAAAGGAAAAAAGACGAAAAGAAAAAGAAACTGACAGAATTGCATATGCTCCCACCACCCAGATAAATACACAGAAAGTACACAGAGACCAAGCAATATATTTCTATTTTAAGTTCAAGGTCAGTCAAGGTGAGCCTCTAACTTATATCCTGATTAATGAGGAGGTATTGGAAAACTTCAGGAATTAGGAAGCCCTGCCTGAGTTGCTTCTTAAACTATTTTGGATTGTTTTACTTAAAAATATTAAAACTAGAACAGACCTTAGAGATTATACCAGGATACTTCAAAAGTTTATGGAAAAATAGAATTGAAAGATAACATGAAAATTTCCATTAACTTTTTAAAGTATCTTCATATAATATAACTTCTCATTTCATAGAAGAGAAAATTGAAATCCAGGAAGATTTAACTATTTGTACAAGGCATAAGCACATAAATATGTGTATTTAACACCAGGCCATTATCTTAATACTGGGCATTAGGTACAGGTGCGTTTATGTTAAAAATGTAATTATTAATAGTATTATTTTATCCCAGTTTGAAAATTTTAACACTTTGTAGATAGATGACAAAAAGACAGGATCCACTTGAATGACTGGGTAAAAAATGGATACACTTTACTATTGTAAGCAATAAAATGTTTTCCTTTTTTTCCTTTTAACAGGTTTCACATACTTACAATTACCACAATCCAAAAAACGACGCCTAGTATATGAAAAAGTCCCTGGTAGAGTTGATGGACAAACTCGGCTGAAGTTTTTTTGAAGGAGGGAGAGAGAAGTGCTACATGCCATATTCTACTGCTTTTGATAATAATCCAGTAACAAAATTATTTAGATTTGCTCAAACATTAAAGAAAATGCAATTATTCTTAGATGTTAATACACCTATATTGTTAGTACACCTTCTCAGTTTTATAATTGAGTTTTCTCTATATTAATAATATAGTTTTCTCTATATTAAATTTTTATAATATGTATTCTGCCCTATAGTTTGCGTCTTTCTAAGTTAAATATTCGAATTTATCAATTGGCATAATAATTATTTTAAGATCCAGAATGCCTTCCAGATTCACCCAAATCTCACAAACCTTTTAAATGAGTCTCTATCACAGTCTGCTCCTTTGAGTCAAAAAGTGAAGATCACCAGTCAACCCTCTAGCAACATAAATGTTAAAACCTAGGGCAAAATTGAAGTTAGAGAACTTCCAATTTAAAGTGTTTTCTTCCACAAACAAAAGTTAGAAACAAACATCTAAGAGAAAATATCTGCAACCAAGATAATAGGAAAAGGGTTTACATTCCTAGTAGATAAAGAGTTCCTACAAACTGATAGGAGAAAGACAATCTAATAGAAGAATGGGCAAAATATATGAATAGGTATTTCCCGAGAAGAAACAAAAATAGCAGTAAACATTTGAAACAATATGCAGCTCCATTGCTTATTAGGTAAATGCAAATTAAAACAATAAGTTACCATTCTTTCACCTATCAGATTGGCAAAACTTTTGAAAATTCATAATATCCAGTGTTGGCATATTGGAGAACAGAACACTTTCCTATATTGTTAGTACACCTTCTTTAGAGCACAGTTTATATAACATCTACTAAAAAGAAAAATGCACTTATCTTTTAACTCAACAATTACATTTCTAGAAATCTGTCTTAAGGAAATATTCAATTACACAATGAAATATATTGTAGTATAATTTATAATAGGTAAAAATTGTTGACAACAAAAATGCTGTCAGTAGGGGAATAGGTAAAGAATTTAGACTATACAACACCATGAAACCATTAAGAAGAAAGTAAATCTGTGTGCTCTCACAAGGAAGGATGTCTATAACATAGAGTGAAAAAATAAAAAATATTACATAAAACATTATATATTTCACAATTACATTTTTGTTTAAAAAAAGACCTTTGAAAATTCAAATTTGCTCCAGAATGATCAATATATTAGGGAACAATTTGAGCATAACATGAATTTCACATTCTGATGCAATTTTGTTCACAGGAAACATTTGGTGAACTCAAAAATTACACCTGAGGGCTGGCCATTTAACTCAGTTGGTTAGAGTGCCACCTTGTAATACCAAGGTCATGGGTTCAGATCCTCTTACTGGCCAGCCACCAAAAAAAAAAAAAAAATTACACCCAACTGAAATGAGCCAGGTAGGAATACACAAAACACACACCACACACCTCACAAGGTCATTGAGCCACACTTTAATGTGGCTAATTGCCACATTCGGTGTTTCAACTTTGCTGTGGATTGAATGTCCCTTTAATATTCTTTGAAGCTTAATCCCCACTGTAACTGTTAAGAGGATGGGAAATCCTATTATGGTAGTTGAAAGGTGGGCCCTTTGAGAGGTGATTAGATTGTGAGGACTGTGTCCTCATGAATGGATTGATACATTCATGAGTAGTGGGTGTGGTTCTGATGGCTTTAAAAGGAAAGCAACTGAGAAGCTTTAGCTCCCTTGCTCAGCCATTTCACCATGTGATACCCTGCATTGCTATAGAGTCACCACCAGGAACAGGCCCCCACCAGATGTGTTTCCTGGACTTTGGACTTCCCAGTCTCTGAAACTGTAAGCAATATTGTGTCTTTACAAATTACCCAGTTTCAGGTATTTCTGTTATAAGCAACAAAAATGGACTAATGCAAACTTTCTTACCAGTAATCCTTCTTCTACCTCACAATAACTCACAAGTTGCAACTTGGCTAAGCAGTCCTATACCCTCCCATTTCTTTCATTTTTCTCCAGTTTTCTCTCAGTTCTCTGCTGTTTCCCTCTCTTTATCTCTATTTTCTCACTCGTTTTCTATCTCTCTTTTGTTCTTTTCCTTGAATAGAAATGGTGATGGGCATAGGAGCTAGGCGGGCTGGCCAGTGGAAGAGTGGGGCCTGCATATCCACAGGCAAACTTCAGGTTTTTTTCAAGATAACAAGCCATATTTATTATAGCATTTATGTATTCCTTAGCCATTTAACATGTATAAAATGGTGCTGTCATTTTTATTAGGTTCTCATCTTTTTTTATTTGTCACAGATGAAATTTTTGAGTCCTAAGCCTCTATTCCCATTTTCCCATAAGCCCTGTGGTTTTTGTTGTGTGATTTTACATAGCTTGGTGATTTTTAGGAATGCATTTGCCCTGTTACCGCAGTACTGACTGTATGTATACCCTTCTTAACAGCTGCTTAATATAATGTGCCATAATATATTTAACCATTCTCTCACTAGTGAACATTCAGATTGACTCCAATTTTGGAATGAAAAATATGTGGACAGATACATCCCAAGCATTTTACCATGGGAGATAGAATTAGAATAAATTCAAAAGTTGTCATTCTTTATACACTTGGATGTGTTTTGAAGATACAGCTGATAGTTTAGATGTACAACATAAGAGAAAGAGGATAGCACTAAGATTTTTGGCCTGCAAAGCTAGAAGAATGATATTGCCATTTACTGATATGGAGAAGACTATGAGAAGAGTATAATTTAGAGAAAAGATGAGTTTGATTTGGGGCAAATTAAATTTGAAATACCTACTAGACTTCCAAGTGGAGCTATTAAGTAGGTATTTGGATTATGTAAGTCTCAAGTTCTATAGGATATATAAATTTGAGAAGTATTAATTTGGGAGTCATCAAGGTATAGGTGGTATTTAAAGCCATTAAGCTGGATAAGATTGCCAAGGCAGTATATGTAGATAGAAAATAGAAAAAGTTCAAGGACTAAGCCCTGGGACATTAGAGAGACATGGAGGAAAATGGAAAGAAAATTGAGAAAGAGCAACCAGCAAGGTAGGTGAAAACCCAGAAGGGTGTGATATCCTGGAAGCCAAATGAAGAAGACGTTGCCAGAAGGAAAGAGAAATTGATTGTGTCAACTGCTACTGACAGATCAAATGAGGGGAGGAAAGAGAATTAACCATAGAATTTACCAAAGTGGAAATCACTGGTGATCTTGATAGCAGTGTATGGAGGAATGGTGGGCAAAAGCCTGGTTAGAACAGATCAAGAGAGCACAAGAGAGGAAAACAGGAGATGGGGAGTTTTGACAACTCTTTCTGGAACTTTTGTTATACAGACATGAGAGGTGGGGTATTAGAGGAAGAAGAAGTCAACACAAGGGTATTCTTAAGAGAGAAATCTCACTGTGTTAGTAGGCTGATGGGAAAAATCCACTGGGGGTAGGGGGTGGGGCGGGGGGAGAGAGAGAGAGATTTGCTGGACAGAAGTCCCTGGGTAGGTGAGAATAGATGGGATATAGTGCAGGAAAGAAGGGATTTGGTCTCGGCTAAGACCACAGGTAGTTCATCCACAAAACTTAAGAAAAGAAAGGCTGAGATGATTTCTCTGAATTCTTCTGCTTTCTTTATCAGTCAGGGTTTGATCAGAGAAACAGAACCACTGAGTGATATGGAATAAAGGGCCCTCTTAAGTTAGTGATTATGAATTTAAAGTGGGAGCATTAATAATGTCACAAATAGGCAGGGGCGCCCAATAGAAAGGAGGAATAAAATAGAGAATTGCATTTAAAAGGGTTGGGGGGGCGTGGGCCACCCCACTTCCACCTGCATCCAGGCAAGCAACAGAGCGTGCCCAGGGTCCTGACATGGGGGCCGTGGGCTGCTGCTCCCACTAGTAAGAACATCTTAGAATGTATTTATTAACCACATGTGTTTCTTTGGGGTGTGTGACTTGTCTGTATGTCCTTCACCAAATTTCTGTTAAGATTTTTCTAATTCATCTTTAAGAGTTCTTTATGCATTTAAAGAAAGAAAGAAAAATAAAAAGAAATAAAATAAAAGGGTTGTGGCTTAGCCAAGTCAGTGTAAGGAAGCAAAAGTGAGAGTGGGGCAAGGGTGTTGAGGGAGTATGCAAAGGAATGAATATAATAATGATAACAAACAATAATATTATGTTAACTATTATAAATGCAACACAAAGTACATTTTATTGTAAACTGAGCTGCACACACAATCCCAGGACAGAGCTTTCTGTAAACCGTGTTCAAGACTCTGAGGCCAAATCTAAAGTTTACATGAGGTCTCTTCTCCCTAAACTTCTTCCCTAAATAGTGGCCTTCTGTAACAGGATGACCCAGCAAAGGTTGCTGCCTAGACATGAGAAGTACAACACCACACCCAAATGGCTCACGCCAGTGGCCAGAGATAAGAAGTTAGAGCATCTCTCCCACTGTAGTGGATTGAATTATGTCCCCCCAAAACTCGCTGAAGCTTGACTATGTCCCCCAAATTTTATGTATTAGCCTCCACTGTGACTGTTAAGAGGGTGGAAAATCCTATCATGGTAATTGAAAGGTGGAGCCTTGAAGAGGTGATTGGATTGTATGACCACACCATAGTGAATGGGTTAATAATGGTGGTCAGGGGCATGGTTCTGGGGGCTTTAAAAGGAGAGTGAATGAGGAGGTTGGTCTCTGTTCTCTGTCTTTTGCTCTCTCTGCTCCGCCATTTTGCAATGTGATACCCTGCCATCACTGAAGTCACCACCAAAGAGAGTCTGTGTTCCCTGGACTTTCGACTTCCTAGCCTCAGACACTGTAAACAATAAATTTTATTTTCTTATAAATTACCCAGTTCTGCATATTTTGTTATAAGCCATAGAAACAGACTAAAACACACCTAGCAGATTGTGCTATCAGCTTTTTTGATGCTTCCTTTCAATGGACTATTAAGGCATTTGCCTGTGAATTTAAAGTGAACCGCAGCCCGCACCCTTATA